CTCAATATCGGCGATTCGCTTCTCGATTTCGTTCAGGTCCATTTCTGCAGCAAAGAAATTGAAAAAATTGCGAAACACGTTAGAAAACTAGTTGCGCTAACAAAACCCTTAACACACACTTCACAAAGGTTTTTATCAATTTCAATGAAAATTCAGATTTTTTCCAGCTTTTAAAACGTAAATTACGGGGTTTTTCATCACAAAATTGCTGGAAAAAAACTCGAAAACGATTGAAAAATAAATAAATAAATTGAAAGTCCGCAATGTGTCGTCATGGTGTACACTGCACACTTTGCACTGTAATTGACGAGCAATGCGTCGGAATTCCTTGAAAAAACCTTTTCTGCTTTGAAAAGGTTTAATTTCGCGAAAATTGACAAGAATTTAACGATAAAAATCCGAAAAATTTATTCTAGACAATAAATTATAACTATAATTCATCTCTATTCCTCTCCACAGCCGTTAGTTCCTGCTCCAGCTCATCCACGTCCTCATAGCGCTCCAGAAGATTCAACCGAGCGATTGGGAACATAAAATCTTCGATGAAATCTAGAAACATGGAATTTCAACATAAACTTAAGAAAGAGAAAATTAGAGAAAATTACCATCACAATGCGATGGTTCCAGATGTTGAACCCACGCCTTGACACTCAAAAAATTATCATTTTCAATGGGTTTTTTGAAAAGGCACCATCCTTTTTCGTCTCTTCGAATGACGACGTAGCTAGGGGTGTCTATATTGAACACGCTCATGATGTATAGGCCGAATAGGTCCATTCTGGAAAAATTTGAAAATTCTAGCCTAAAAAGTCTGAAAATCGATAAATTACCCAGAAATCGCTGCATAGAACGCCGAGCGCTCGGAAGTTTGTTCTTGAGAAGCATGATATTGAAAACCTGTGACATTTTTAGTGCCGAGTGGGTCAAAAAAGACAAGAAGCGGTTTTTCAACAGAAGTGGCGAATAAAAATTCGCTGGGAGATATTAATGGGTGACATCCGGGATGGACACCATCTTCCAAGAATTCCACCATTCGATTCCAATGAATATCCTTGTAGAGGGTGAAGGCTTTAACGTATGGATCGTCGGGTTTCATGGTGATGAATGCCGGATGGAAGGACCTGAAATTTGTTATTTATTTTGAAAATTGAAATTTCTTCAGGTTTAAATTGAATTTAAGATTTTCAGGAATTTAATTTTTTTGCACTTTCAGAATCTCACTGAATTTCAGGTTTCTCTGAAGTTCGATGTTTCGAATTTCCACATTTTACAGAATATAGGCATTCCAAATATACATGCTATGTGAATTTCTGAGCATTGTCCGTCAGGAGCTTCAAAATAAGTATATTCATGCTTATGTTTCTTAAATTCAGAATTTCGGGCTAGAGACGCAGTGTGTCTCGTTACTCTGACACTCTAGCCTTACACAAAATGGGTGATAACTTAAGGATAACTTGGTTCATTTTCGTCCAATTTTTGAAATTTAGAAATGTTAGAGTTTGGCGAGTCAAGAGCTTCAAAATGAGTATAATCATGACTATGTTCCTTCAAACTTGATATTTTGGGTTTAAAGGCGCATGAACCCCATATAGGGGGTCCGAAAAATAAAATAGTTGTAAAGTAGGTCATGGTTATACTCATTTTGAAGCTGAAGGCCAGCTGAGTAGAAAAAATGAAGTTTCTTTAGAATTGAACAACTTCCAGAGAAGTTACGGTCATTTGAAGTTTTGGGGAAAAATCTGAATTTCCGAAAAACAACTATAACATTGCTGAAACTCATCCCATTTTGATAAACATTTAATTTTTGTGCTCAGCAAGTCTTCAGCTTCAGAATAAATATAATCATGACCTACTTTCCTTGAATTTCCTTTTTCGGACCCCATGCGCCTTTAAAGTCAAAACCAAAGTGGGCGGAGCCTAGTCATGACTATACTTATTTTGAAGCTCGAAACATGCCAAATTCAAATATGTAAGTTTCAAAAAGATTTGAGCCGAATTTCAAGAGTTATGGGGGTTTCTAATGTTTTTGCATTTCATGATTTAACGAAATTCAGTATTTTCGTATTTTGGAAAATTGAAATTTTAGATTTAATGAAATTCTGGATATTTTGGGTTTTGAGTTTTTTAGAAATTTCAGATTTTTTCAGAATTTAGAAATTCGAACGAATTTATTGAGTTTTGTGAGCTTTTAAGCTTCAAAATGAGTCTAAACTTAACTAGGCTCCGCCCACTTTCAATTTTCACCAAGGCATGCGACGCACGACCGCGACGCACAGGGGAGTTCAAAGTGGGCGGAGCCTGGTTGTTTTAGGCTCATTTTAAAGCTCTTGACCTCGCAAACTCAAATTTGACTGTTTCGGAACATTTTCAGAACATTTTCAGCATGAAAATTGGAGAAATTTTTTTTTCGAAATTTTCCAAAAAAAATTTCAAATTTCAATTTTATTTGAATTTCTTCTCTATTTGTATGGGAATCTACATAAATTTTTGTATGAAATGAAACCACATTTCACCGCACACCATCTGAAAAACTTGAAGTTGAATAACGTACCATTTCTTAACTTCTGGAGACACCACTGCTGTCAAATGGAATTTTCCATGATTTTCTTTGGCAAACTTCACGTAGTTCCTCCAAACTTGACACTTTTTGGTGTGCACGAAAAGTATAGTCACAGTATGCCTAGGGCGATCAAAGCCGGGGACGTTTCCACTACGGTACTGAGGGACCAAGTTCTCGTTGAGGATTCTGATTTGGGGTTGTTTGATTCTGAAAAAAATCAGAAAATTTTTAAATTTTTTGACTCCAAAATCTATGAAAATTCCTACGTTAAAATCCAATCATGAACATGATTCTTTTGAAAACCTCCCTCGTAAATTGCTTGAATTTCTTCATCCCGGAATGCGTAGAGGATTGGAGTGTCGTCGTCAGAATTGTCTGGACAGATTTTGTTTTCTCTAAAAATAATTTTAGAAATTAAATGAGCAATCTACAGTAATCCTTTTTTACTTTTCACAATCTATGATGTAGCCTGGTTGACCGCTTCGTTTGATAGCGGAGACGAAGTTGACAACTGCTTCCCATTGTTCGAATGTTCCTGAAATTTTGGATTTTGGGATTTTTGGATTCAAATTTAAGATTTTTAGAAATTTTAAATTTTTATGACTCTCAGGAAAATCGAACTCTCATTTATGATTTTTCTCATGTTTTTGGAAATTCTAGACAAATTTGGATTTTCAGGTCTTTACAGAATTTCAAAATTTCAATTTTTCGAATTTTTGGATTTTCAATTTTTCAGGAATTTTAGGATTTTATGAATTTCAGACGATTTTTGAAATTTCAATATTTTTGGTGTCTTAGATTTTTAGGAGCTTGAAGGTTGTTTGAATTTTTCAATTTTTCAGATTTTACAGAATTCGAGGATTCTCGTATTTTTAATTTTTTGAATTTTCGAAATTTCAGATTATTCAAGGCATTTTTTCTGATTTTAAAAATTTTCAGATGTCTGAAATTTAGAATTTTAAGATATTCATGAATTTCAGATTTTTGGATTTTTTCTATTTTTCAGATTTTTGCAGAAGTCCAGAATTTCGAATTTTTAGATTTTTGGTTTTTCAGATTCCTGGTAAACTAGCATTTCTTAAATTTTCAGATTGTTACGAATTCTAGAATTTTTATTATTATTAGAATTTTGAAATTTCAGATTATTACTGGATTTTTGGTTTTTCAGATTTTCACAGAATTCATAAATTTTCAGATTTTTGG